ATAGTGCAATCAAACTAGACATCAATAGCACAAGAAACTATAGAAACTTCACAAGCACATGGAAACTGAACAACACTCTCCTAAACAATCAATGGATTACAGAGGAAATTAAAGAAGAAATTAGACAGTTTTTACAAATAAATGAGAATGCCAATACAACATACAGGAATCTTTGGGACACAATGAAAGCAGTTCTACGTGGAAAATTCATAACATTGAATGCCCACACTAGGAAAACAGAGCGGGCTCAAATAAACAACTTAACGATGAAACTTAGACTCCTAGAAAAACAAGAGCAAGAAAAACCCAAAGCTCGAACAAGAGAGGAAATTATAAAGATCCGAGCAGAAATCAATGCAATTGAAATTAAGAAAACGATACAAAAAATAAATGAAACAAAGAGCTGGTTTTTTGAAAGAATAAATAAAATTGACAAACCCTTAGCTAATCTTATCAAAAAAAGGAAAGAAAAGGCTCAGATCCATGCAATTAGGAATGAAAAAGGCGAAGTCACAACAGATCCGAAAGAAATCCAGAGGATCATGAACACCTACTTTGAGAACCTGTACTCTAATAAAATGGAAAACACAGAAGAAATGGACAGATTTCTAGATACTTATGAATTACCAAAGTTGAACGAAGAAGATAAAAACATTTTAAACACCCCAATCACAATCAGTGAAATTGAAAATGTAATTAAAAACTTACCAACAAAGAAAAGCCCAGGCCCTGATGGATTCACTGCTGAATTTTACAAGACATTTAGAGAAGAACTACTACCATTACTCTTCAAACTTTTCAATGAAATTGAAAGAGAAGCTATACTTCCAAATTCATTCCTGGAAGCAAGTATCACTCTGATTCCCAAACCAGAGAAAGATACAACCAAAAAGGAGAACTACAGACCAATCTCCTTAATGAATATAGATGCAAAAATCCTTAATAAGATACTAGCAAACAGAATACAGAGGATTATTAAGAAGATCATCCATCATGACCAAGTCGGATTTATTCCAGAGATGCAAGGGTGGTTCAACATACGAAAGTCAGTGAATGTAATACATTATATTAACAAAGTCAAGGACAAAAACCATATGATCCTCTCAATAGATGCAGAAAAAGCATTTGATAAAATTCAACACCCATTCATGATAAAAACCCTGCAAAAAATTGGAATAGATGGTCTATACCTCAATTTAATAAAGGCTATTTATGAAAAACCATCAGCCAACATCATATTGAATGGCCAAAAACTGAAAACCTTCATGTTAAAATCAGGAACAAGACAAGGATGCCCACTATCGCCACTTCTCTTCAATATAGTTCTGGAAACATTAGCCACAGCAATTAGACAAGAGAAAGAAATTAAAGCAATAAAGATAGGAAAGGAAGAAGTTAAACTATCATTATTTGCTGATGATATGATACTCTACATTGAAGATCCAAAAAACTCCACCAAAAAACTTCTAGACTTAATTGACAGATTCAGTAAAGTATCTGGATACAAGGTGAATACCCAAAAATCAATAGCCTTTCTATACACAAATAACAGACAGACAGAAAGAGAAATAAGGGAAAAAATTCCTTTTACAATAGCATCCAAAAAAATGAAGTATCTAGGAATCAATCTAACAAAAGAAACAAAAGATCTCTACACTGAAAACTACAGCACTCTGAAAAAAGAAATCGAAGAGGATATAAAAAAATGGAAAGATATCCCCTGCTCCTGGGTAGGAAGAATCAACATAGTGAAAATGGCCATACTACCGAAACTGCTATATACATTCAATGCAATGCCAATTGAAATTCCAACACTATATTTCACAGAACTAGAAAAAAGAATCCAAAAATTCATTTGGAACCACAAGAGACCTAGAATAGCAAAAGCCATTATAGGCAACAGTCACATGGCACCAGGTGTAACAATTCCCAATTTGAAACTATACTACAAAGCCACTGTGATAAAATCAGCATGGTACTGGCAAAGAAATAGGCCTGAGGATCAATGGAACAGACTGGAAGACACAAAAACAAATGCAGATGTACTCAGCTACCTCATCTTCGACAAAGGAGCTCACCATCCTCAGTGGAGGAAAGATAGCCTCTTTAATAAATGGTGTTGGAAAAACTGGATATCAACCTGTCACAGATTAAAATTAGACCCTTATCTTTCGCCATGCACTAAATTAAAATCCAAATGGATTAAAGATCTAAATATTAAAACAGAAACATTAAACTTGCTGGAAAGTAAGTTAGGCAGAACTCTGGAAGACATTGGTATAGGAAAAGACTTTATGAACAAATCCTCAGTAGCACGGGAACTAGCAGAAAGAATCAACAACTGGGATCTCATCTTACTAAAAAGCTTCTGTACTTCAAAAGAAACCATTAGCAGAACTAAGAGACAATCTACAATGTGGGAAAAAATTTTTACCAGCTGTACCTCAGACAAAGGACTATTATCAAGGATATATAAAGAACTCAAAACAATCAGTCCCCCCAAATATAAAGACCCGATCCAAAAATGGGCATCCGAAATGAACAGACATTTCTCATACAAAGAAGTGAAAGCAGCAAGAAAATATATGAAAAAATGTTCCACATCACTGGTCATTCGAGAGATGCAGATGAAAACAACACTGAGATTCCACCTCACCCCACAAAGAATGGCTGCTATCAAGAAATCACACAATAACAAATGTTGGCGGGGTTGTGGGGAGAAAGGAACCCTCCTCCATTGTTGGTGGGAGTGCAGACTAGTGCAACCACTATGGAAATCAATATGGAGATACCTCAAAGAGCTTGGACTGGAGGTTCCATTTGACCCAGCCATCCCTCTGTTGGGTATCTTTCCAAGAGAACTAAAAGAATCATATCACAGAGAAGTATGTGCACCCATGTTTATAGCGGCACAGTTTGTAATAGCTAAATCTTGGAAACAACCTATTTGCCCATCCGTTGGAAACTGGATAAAGAAGTTGTGGTTTTTCTATAAAATGGAATATTACTCAGCCATAAAGAGCGAGAGAATAGATTCATTCATAGGAAAATGGATACATATTGAAGATATACTCCTAAGTGAAATAAATAAGTCCCACATGTGTAAATACCAAATAGTTTCCCTGGTGTGAATATTCTGCAACAATGCATAAGATTCTAATAAGATTACTGACATTTAGAAATGGGAGGAAAGGAGCTAAAGGTGTAGGGAAGGTGTGATACGTAGGGGAAGAACAAAAAGGGAAAAGAAAAAAATGTGAGAGAATGAAAAGATGAAAATAAAGTGTTTGTAGATGGGGAGGGGAGGAGGGGGTGAAGGGAGGGCAGAGGTAAGGGGAAAAAAATGAGAATCAAGACTTGCCATGTAAAGGTACATGATCCCAACAATGAATGTAACTGTACTGTATCCCTAAATGTACCAATAAACTCAATAAAAAAAAAAATAATCTGTTTCTTTTGGTTGGTGAATTGAGACCACATATAACCATTGATGGTTATAACTGCTGATAGGTATTGACTTGTCCCTGTCAACATACTATTTTCCTGTTATTGATTCCCTTTCTTTCCCTTCTGTTGTTTGCTTTGCCTGGTAGATTCATCCTATTGTTACTTTTGGAATTGTTACCTTCATTGTCTTTTTCTAGAATATTCTTTTAAACTTTTTGGAGTGCTCATTTGGTGGTCATGAATTCCCTCAGGTGTTCTTTTTTTTTTTCATTAAGTTTATTGGTACATTTTAGGTATATATGTGATGATATTCATCATTGGGATCTTGTACCTTTACATGATCTTCATTTTTGTCTTGATCTTCATTTTTTTCCCCATTCCCCTACAGCTCCCTTAACCCCCTCCACCTTTTCCTATTTACAAAGACTTCCATTTTTCCCTTTTCTCGTATTTTTTCTTTTCCCTTCTTTCCTTTCCCCATCCCTCCCACTTCCCCTACTCCTTTAGACCTTTTTTTCCTATTTCAGTTATCAATTATACATTTCCATCCTTATTTATACTTTTAGTTTTTCACATCAGAGAAACTATTTGGTATTTACATATTTTTGTCTTATATATTTCACCTAAGAGTTTGGCCTCAGTATACATCCATTTAGCTATAAATTTCTCTAGTTTCTCATTATTTATGGCTGAGTAGTACTCCATTTTATTTTAAAAACCCACATCTTTATCCAGTCTCCAGTGGATGAGCAGTTGGGCTGTTTCCAAGTTTTAGCTAATACAAACAGTGTGCCATAAATATGTATTGTCATATATTGTTGTTAATGATTCTTTTAATTCTTTTTGGGAAGATACCCAGCAGGGGAATAGCTGGGTCAGATGGGACCTCTAATCCTAGTTTTTTGAGGTATCTCCATATTGATTTCCCAGCAACAATGAAGAAGGGTTCCTTTCTCCCCACAACCCCGCTAGCATTTGTTATTGGTTGATTTTTTGATAACAGCCATTCTGTCTAGGGTGAGGTGGAATCTCAGTGTTATTTTCATCTGCATCTCTTGAATGACCAGTGATGTTTAACATTTTTTCATATGTTTATTTGCTGTTTTAACTTCTTTGTCTGAGTAGTGTCTATATTTCAGATGCCCATTTTTGGATTGGGTTTTTATATTTGGGAGTTTGATTTTGGGGGGGCTGGGGATCAAATCGGGCCCTTGCACTTGCAGGGCAGATGGTAGAACCACTGGGCCAAATTCTAGGCCCCAGGGTCTTATTTTTTTGAGTTCTTTATGTATTTTAGATAGTAGCCCTTTGTTTGAGGAGCAGCTAGTAAAAAATTTATCCTTCCTTAGGGATTCTTTATCACAGAAATATCTTATTTCTTCTATCTTTTTTTCTTTTTGGTACTGGGATTGAACTTGTGAGCTTGTGCGTGTGAGCCAGGTGGCAGAACCACTGAGCTAAATACCTGGCCCTTCCATCAGTTTTTAAAGATAATTTTTTGGTGGGCTGGAGATTTAGCTCAGTGGTTCCGCCATCTGCCTTTAAGTGCAAGGATGCGAGTTCGATCCCTGGTACCAAAAAGAAAAAAAGATAATTTTTTGGGAGTATATCAATCTGGATTGGAGGTTGTTATCTTTTAGAGCTTGAAATACTTCAAATTCCTTTACTTAAGGGTTTGTGTTGAGAAGCCTGCCTTGATTCTGATGGGTTTTCCTTTATAGGTGATTTATTTCTTTTTTGCAACAGCTTTTAGTATTTTGTTCTTGTGTTGAATTTCTGGAATCTTGACTCTGATATGCCTTGGTGTAGTTTTTTCCCTGATCATGGCTAATTCATATTGTCCGTACTTTACTCATCTGTATGTCAAATTCTTTCTCCTGGCTGAGAAGTTTTTTGTAATTCTGTGAACAGGTTTTTTTATGTCCTTTGTGCTATCTTCTCACTTTTCACTGATTCCATTTACTTTTGTTATTCTTTGAATCATCGAGTAGCTATTGGATTGATTTTCTTTGTGTTCCATTGCTTTTAAGAAAAGTTTTAAGAAATTTTTCATTTGGGCTGGGGATTTAGCTCAGTGGTTCTGCTGCCTGCCTTGCAAGCTCAAGGACCAGTTAGATTCCTGGTACAAAAAAAAAAAAAAAAAAAAAAAAGAAAAAGAAAAAAAGGAAGAAGTCTTGCATTTGAGGATTGTGAACTATAATGCTATCTTCAATGCTGATATTCTGTCTTCACATTGGTTGATTCTGTCATGTATTCTTTCAACAGGAATTTTAGTCTCTTGGATATGTGTTTTGAATCTGTTTTATGGAATCAGATTCACTAACCATATCTTTCATTATAGTCATCAACTCTTTAATTATCTGTGTATTTGTTGTTGTTTTTTTTTTTTCCTAGAGACTCATTCATCTGCTTTGTTATTTCCATTTCAGGAAGCCTCATATCTTTCATTATAGTCATCAACTCTTTAATTATCTGTGTATTTGTTGTTGTTTTTTTTTTTCCTAGAGACTCATTCATCTGCTTTGTTATTTCCATTTCAGGAAGCTTGGGTGGTTTTTGATTTCTTTTACTTCATTGCCCCCTGGATTTGCCTTGGCAAACTGGAGGTTTGTGGTTACATATTGCTTCTGTGTCTTCTCATTTCATTTGTTGTTTTATGCATTGATGCTTATAAATTGCCTATGGTAGATAGCTTTATTACTAGTATTGAGTCATCTTTAGGAAATGACTATTTTTCAAGTATGTATTTTCTAGATGTAGTTAGCTCTTGGCCTTTGAGTCTGTCTCAGGCTCCTCTTCTGTTTATTAGAGATGAGAGGCTGCAGTTTGTTTGGCCTAGCACATCGTTCTTTGGTACTGGACTATAGATAGTATTTATGTTCTCCAGACAATAGTTATTGGCATACAAGGAAGATCATTTGATCATAGCAGCTATGTCCCCTTGGCTGAGGTAGTATAATCAGCGGTAACAATAGCATCAAATGCAGACTGGAAAATGATAAACTGTGATAACTAATAATTTGTCACTTTTAGCCATATTTATGTGATTTATAGTTTTATATCAAAAGCTAAGACAAATTAGAAAATTATACCACAGATATCCATTCAGTAGAGCAGTTTTACTTTAAAGGGAGAAAACTAAAAGGAAGATGAAGAAAAAAATAGATAAAACAAAAAAAGATTAGAAGCAAGTCCGAAGGATACAGATTACTGAAACTTCAGAAAAAGGGTGAAGAAGACAGGAGACAAGGAAATAATGAAAAAACATTAACAGGGACAGAACAAAACAAAAGCTATAAACAGTGTTCATTCTCACAAAGAAACAAAAACAATCAGAGATTAAAAAAAGAAGAAAAACAAAAGCAAAAAATTTTCTCTGTGGTTTCAAGCCTGTGGTTTTTTTCTGGGGTCTGTAGTTTTGTGGCAGTGTCCGGATCAAGGCATGACTCTGCTCTTGCTAATAGAAAAAGGAGGCTGTCAGACCCAGATCCATGCTGAATAATACCAGACAGTGCTAAAATTAGGGCATGTTGTTGGTTCTGAGACTTTCAAAATTCTCAAAAGTCGAGGCTGCACCTGACATCCGGTTGTGGGGTTGATCCTGAGTTGTTTACCATGTAACACTCTGAGTGTCTCTTGCTGGCCTGCCCATGGCTCCCTGATCATGGACATCTCCTGTGCTTGTCCCTCAGCCAGTCACTGTGGTAGTTAAACACCCAGAGCCCTGAGGTGAAGCTGACCCGTGGCTGCTATGTCTGGGCATAGTTGGCCTCTTCCTAGAATGACATCTGACCAAGCACCTCCCATAGGACAAAGCAGTTGCTTGGACTGGAATCACCTAGTGTACCATTTGTTCCACTGGTGCATTTCTTCCTAGAGGCCTCTGGAGTTGTCCTTTTTTACTGTGTCTCTGTAGATTCAATTTTCCTTTCTCATGCCTCAAGCCAGGGAGAAAGTGCAGGTTGCTGTTTTGTTCTGCATTTTGGTCTGTCTCTTCAGTTTCTCTGTAAGCTTTAATTTTCCCTTCAAGCCCTTCCTGGGTCCCAGGAAACCACCTTTCTCCTTCTTTTCTTCCCTAAGCTGTTATTTTCCAGTGTCTGTATTCCAAATCTTGGAGTGACTGATTTGTTGTTGCTTAGTGCTCGGCTGTCTTCCTGGAAGTCTTTTCCTGGCATAGTGATTTTTAAAACCCAAACCTTGAGATAACGGATTTTATTTAACTCCAAAGGCAACCATGTACTTTTATTTCTGCCTCTGGGAATTTTTCTTTATTGTGAGGTCAGCCATGTATAAAATTATCTTGTCACATTTCATTTCATCTAACACATTTCAGGTGTTTGTAGGGACTACCCTGCCCCTTCTAGTGCTTTAGTCTGCAGTGTGTCTACACTAATATCTTTTATGGAACTTTGTTGCTATCATCATCCCTCCCCTCCCTGCTGGGGCTCAAAAACAGATCTCCTTATGATAGGCAAGCATGTGATTCTCAGCTATACCCCCAGCTTCTCACAGAGTTGTAAGAACCTCTTCTAGGGGACCACTGGACAGGTATAATGATTGCTTGTGAGCTCTGGGTTATGGATCATTTCTTATATTCTCATGTATTTTTCATATATCTGCAAAGCAATTTCATAACTTTTTTTAAACTTTCAAGAGGAAATTGTCCTTAGGATCCTTCAAGTAATATACCTTCTTTTCCATTTTTTGCAGGTGGTGCGGTTGTGTCAGAATCCAAAGCTCGCGCTAAAGAATAGTCCACCTTATATTTTAGACCTGCTGCCCGACACCTACCAGCATCTCCGTACTATCTTATCAAGATATGAGGGGAAGATGGAGACGCTTGGAGAAAATGAATATTTTAGGGTGTTCATGGAAAATTTGATGAAGAAAACTAAACAGACCATAAGCCTTTTCAAAGAGGGAAAAGAAAGAATGTATGAAGAGAATTCTCAGCCTAGGTAATGGAGAAATACTACACAAATATTAATTCAGGTCTGTGACTGCCTGAATGGGTAACACATACAAATAATTGAGTTGGTTTGAGTTTTATGTTAGCTGGAATAGAAAGGTGATATTTGATTTAATGGTGTGATTTACATAAAAAGTTGCCTTGGGGTATGTTAAACCATCCTTAGGTCTGACAGATTTGTTTACCCCTGGAAAACCAGTCATTTATAGGCATGGAAAAGCTGGTGCAGTGGTACACAGCTGCAATCCTAGGGCTCTGGGAGGCAGAGACAGGAGGATCACCAAGTTTCAGCACAACCTAGGCAACTCAACAACTTAGGGGAAAACCCTGTCTCAAAAGAAAATATATAAAGGGCTGGAATGTAGCTCAGTATGACACCCTAGTTCAATTCTTGGTACCATTTAAAAAGAAGAGATTGAAGGGGCCGGGATTTAGCTAAGAGGCACTGAGCCTGGATCAGATTTAATAGAAGCTGCCTTAGCAGATTAGGTAAATTATAAATAAGTATGGTATAATAGGGGAAAAATAAGCTAATAGTTAAAAATTAGAGAGTGGTACTGGGAATTGAAACTGGGGACTTCACACACTGCTATATCCCCAGTACTTTATTTTTGTTTTTTGGGGTTTTTTTTTTTGTTTTGGGTCTGTGTCTTGCTGAATCACTCAGGTTGTGCTTGATCTTGCAATCCGCTTGTCTCAGCCTCCCAGGGCGCTGGGATATTACAGGTTGTGCCACCATGCTATGCTTACCTGCTTTTTTGTTTTGTAAGTAAGACAAAGTGAAATGACATTTCCTTAATAGGCAGGAGTAATTTTTCCACTAGAGTAAGTAGAGGCAAATACAGTTAATTCAATAAACATTTGAGGGATCACATGTATTCTTTTATACTAATTAAATACTAAAAACTATAGGCTATCCTATATGATATCAGCTTGGTTGTTGTAAATTATATACTGGGGAAAAATAAATTAACTGTGTGGATGTGATTGTATTTGTTTTTTTTGAGACAGGGTCTCACTATGTAGTTGAGACTGACCTGAAACTCACACTATGTAGCCCAGGCTGGTCTCGAACTCACAGCGATCCTCCTGCCTGAGCCTCCTGAGTGCTGGGATTACAAGCATGTGCACCACACTCAGCTGGAGTTTATTGAGTAGCTAAACTGTTCAGCACTTAGAAAGGTTATTAGCATGATGAAAGTGATAAGTGGATTAACTCATCTTTTTAATTTATTGTAAACATAGGTTATTGCAAGAAGTTGTATATCTGTGATGAAGTTTGTAGGTTGACCTTGCTAAATGTGTATTGTAAATATGTAGCATACTAAAAAGTAAGTGTATAGTTTGCCCTTAGCAAATGACTTCAGACTATGCTAACAAGTTTTTTTGCTTTTATTTAAACTTCACTGTCAGTATACCTGTTTTGTATCAATGCGCTTTCTTCTAAATATTAGCCTTTTGATCCCCTGTGAACTTTCAATTATACAACCCCGATCGATACAAAGTACTGTATATGTAAAGTAAAAATAAATAGATTTCAAGTGAGAGTTGGGATTATTATTTTGTTAAGAGAAAATATATGCACTTTAGTATATGATCTTTGAAATCATGATTGGGTTATTTAGAGGCTTTTTCCTATTCATTTTTTTTATTAGTTGTAATTTACATAACCAGAAAATATACTTTTTTTTGGTACTACTAAGGTTTGAACCTTTTGTTAGGAAAGTGCTCTACCATTGAGCTACATTCTCAGCCCCGCTACCCTTCTAAAATTTTTTTATTTTGAGAGAAGATGTTGTTAAATTGTCCAGGCTGGCCTTGAAATTTTGGTCCTTCCCAGTAGTTGAGATTATAGCTATCTATATCAGTCCCAGCTCCCTACTCCTACCTCCTTCCTAGAGAGTTTTTGTTTGTTTTTTGTTTTCTTTGAGACAAGGTCTATGAGACTGACTTGGAACTCACTATGTAGCCCAGGCTGGTCTCAAACTCAAAGCGATCCTCTTGCCTCAGCCTCCTGAGTGCTGGGATTACAGGTGTGCACCACCATGCCTTTTTTTTTTTTTTTTTTTTGAGACAAAGTCTGATATGTAATTTAGGCTGGCCTTGAACTCACTATAGAGTCCAGGCTATCCTCGAACTCTCAGTGGTCCTCCTGCCTTATCCTGGGATTACAGGTGTGTGCCACCACTCCTGGCTGTCCTGGGGGTTTCTCGCTGAGCTATATCTCCAGCTTTTTTATTTTTTAATGCCTCAACCTCCAAGAGTGCTAGGAGTACACCTAGGAGTGTCACCCTGCGACATCCCCGCTACAATTCACTCTTTTAAAGTACAGAATTCAGTGGTTTTTAGTGTATTCACATAGCTGTACAATTACTAGGTGTATTTAATTCCAGGACATTTTCTCCCTCAGAATAAAACCCCAGACTCATTAGCACTCACTCCTCATTCCCCATTCAGTTACCCTCTACCCTAGTCACTAATACTTATTTTCTATCTCTGTGGATTTGCCTATTATAGATATTTCATGTGTAAATGAAACCATACAACATGTGTGCTTTTGTGTTGGTTTCTTTAATTTAGCATTTTCTGGGTTTTTTTGGTACTGGGGATGGAACTCAGGTCTTTGCGCTTGCAAGGCAGGTGGTGGAACCACTGAGCTAAATCCCTGGACTTAATTTAGCATGTTTTTAAATTTCATTCGTACTCACTGCATGTGTCAGTACTCTCCCTCTCCATTGAACCCAGGGCCTTTGCACTGAGCTACATTCCCAGCCTTTTAAACATCTTTTTGTTTGAGTCAGTCTTGGTAAATTGCCCAGGTGGGCTCAACTTGTCATCTTCCTGTCTCAGCCTTCCAGAGTGCTGGGTGACAGTTGCTTGTCACCTGGAACATATCGTATGGTTATATCACCTTTTCTTTGTTTTGCTTTGGTTTGGGGGTTTTTTTGGTACCTGGGATCAAACTCTGGCAGGCTTTTGCCAGGCAGGCTCAGAGGTGCCATGGAGCTAAGCCCCCAGCCCTTGTTTAGTGTTTTGAGACAGGTTCTCACTGTGTTCAAGCAGGCCTCTAACCTGGGGCAATATTCCTACTTCAGCTCCTCAATGCTGGGAATGCAGGTCTGAGCCACCACGCCCAGCCCACAATTTTTTTTAAAAAAAATAGGCATTGTGTTGTTTCCACTTCTTGGTTATTGTGAATAATGCTGCTGTGAATATTTGTGTATAAATTTTGGGTGGCTTTATGTTTTCACTTCTCTTTGGTGTATCCCCTAGGAATGGAATTGCTGAGTCATGTGGTAATTCTATGTCTTAACTTTTTGAGGAACTGCCAAACTGCTTCCACAGAGGTTTACGGCAGTTTGTACTCCCCCAGCAATTTAAAGGCCTAATTTTGTTTTTTTGGTTTGTTTTGAGTTAGGGTCTCACCATGTGGTTCAGGCTAGCCTTGACCACACTATGTAGCCCAGGATAGCCTCATACTCTGGGCAGTCCTCCTGCTTCAGCCTCCTGAGTGCTGGAATTAAGAGGCCTCACCACCACACCCAGCAAAAGTCTAAGTTCTTCTAATACAATTTTTTTTATATCATCATACTGGGTGTAAAGAGATACCTTGAGGTTTTGAAATGCATTTTCCTAATGGTTAATTCCACATGCCATTTGGATGGATGTTTTTATATTTTCTTTGGAGAAATGTCTGTTCAAATCCTTAGGCTTTTTAATTTTGGAGGGGGTACCAGGGTTTGAACTTGGGCCCTTGGCCTTGCAAGGCAGGCAGCGGAACCACTGAGCTAAATCCCCGGCCCAAAATACTATCCGTTCTCCATTGAGTTAACTTAGTAGTATCTTTTGATGTTGGGAATTGAATTCAGGACCTTGCGCTTGTGAGGCAGGAGCGGTGCCACTGAGCTAAATCCCCAGCCCTTCTTTGGCCTTTTTTTTTTTTTTTTTTTTTTTCTGAACTCTGGTCCTTGCATTTGTGAGGCAGGCAGCGGAACCATTGAGCTAAATACCCAGCCATGGCTGTTTTCAATTGGGTTGTCTTTGTATTGGTGAATTGTAAGACTTCTTTACATATTCTGGAAATTTAAATAGTATTATATATATTAACTAAATACATGATTTATAAAACTTTACTCCAGTTGTGAATCATCTTTTCACTTTTTCAGTAGAATCTTTTTATTTTAATTAATTAATTTATTTATTTTTGAGACAGGGTCTCACTATGTAGTTGAGACTGACCTGGGACTCACTGTGTAGCCCAGGCTGGTCTCAAACTCACAACAATCCTCCTGCCTCAGCCCCCTGAGTGCTGGGTGTGTGCCACCACACCTGGCTTAGAATCTTTTTAATATAGGGGAAGAAAGTAATGCCCAAACTGCTAGATGTCAGATGCACAAAGTTTATCTTCCTCCAAGTTGAAGAATGAATTCTAAGGAAATGGAGGTTAAGAGTAGGAAAATTTGTTGGGGAATTGGAATGGGGAATAAGAATAGCTCCTGAGATAAGAAGGGTCCCTAGTGAGTTGCTAAGAGCCCACTTCTCTGAGAAAGTTTTATAGAGTAAAGTCACAAGGGATGGGTACAATGTGGGTCAAATTATAAACAACCAGTAAGATTATGAGCATAGTCACTTGGCTAATATTGATCCAGTAGTAGCAAGGGCATATGGATGCCATCATGAACCCTGGTGTATAATCTGTAGTTTTAGCAGTCTTAGCAGGTGGGAGAGGATGGCCCACCCCTGATGAGATAATAGTTTGTCTGTGCTTGTACCAATAACCTCAGACTTGCATTTGTTCCTTAGGGAAGTATGTAAATATGGCTGTTGGGACTTTAATCTTCAGCTGTGCCTCCAGCCACAGTTTTTGATGTGTTCTCATCTTCTGTACCAACTCCCTCCTTGCCTCCCCTCCTTCTCTCAACTCCCTCAGGCCTAGCTGTTTTAACAACCTGTAATACTTCTACCTAATTTAGCTGTCTATAATACTTT